GATATATAAATTTTTTCAAAATTATTTATTCTGTTAATTGATTCGTGCATTGCCTCTGATTTCACACCAGTGTGCAAAATTTCAGATCAATTAGACAGGTAAAAGTGTGTCAAATATCAGTTATAAGATTTGTAGCTGACAAAATTATTTTTTTAATTTTTTTAATATTGAAAAAATTTTTTTTTTTAATTTCTAAAATCATTTATTTTGACATTTGATTCATGCATTGTCTCCAACTTTACACAAGTGGGCAAAATTTCAGATCGATAGGATAAGTAGAAGTGTATTAAATTTTGATTACAAGATTTGTAGCAGACAGACAGACAAACAGACAGACAAACAAGAAGTGAAGTTAAAGAGAAGTGTTGTAAAAAGTGATGGTCTTTGTTACCCCAGCTCTTGGGGTATCTTAGACCGGGTGGTAAAATCAATTATACTTTTTGGTAAAATAACTCCAGGTTTCGGTGCATTGTAGTAGAACTCTTCTAGTTACATATGCAAATGACAAACTTCAGAAAAGTGCCATAGCTTGCAAATGGGAGGTGCCGCCCCATAATGAGGGAAATGTGACTACCTAATGGCAGCCCTGATGGGGTAATATTGACTGGCTTGGAAATTAAGTTAAAATTACCATATATAAGACTCTGTAGAGTCTGAAACATAAAGAAAAAACATGAACAGGCTGTCAAACATAAAATATGTTATATATGGTAATTTTATATTAACTTCCGAGCTGGTCTATGTAACCCCGTCAGGGCTGACATTAGGTGGTCTAAGTTCCCCCATTTGGGGGTGGTGCCCCCATTTGCATACTATGACACTTTCCTAAAATTTGTCATTTGCATATGTAACTAGAAGAGTTCTACTACAATGCATCAAAACCTGGAGTTATTTAACCAGCAAATGAAAAAATTGGAGGGGGTACTCTGACAGGCTTTAAATAATAGCTTTTTTTCGTGGGTCACATTTTAAATTTTTTAACCTATTAGATATGCAAACTTTTTAAATCTTTCTATTGTGTTATGTAGCCTCAGTATTAGGCCTTTAATGCCCATTGAGAGACCTATTTCCAAAGAAAGTTTTCTGGTAATTCTTATGACCAAACGCAGAAGCTTGCCGAGTTTCTTGAGGGTGACCTCCTAAATGTCTACCAAGTTAGAGGTTGGCGTAAACTCAAGTACAAGGCAATGAAGCAAATGCTACTTGACTATGACAAAACCCACAAAGTGGGAGGCAAGCATTACTGGAGAAGAGAGTTGCAGGAAGCAACACCTAACATGAATGAACCTTGGGACATCTTTGGAATGTGTTTGGTTGAGCTAGCTGAATGAGGGTATCCTGGTGATAAAAAAGAATGGGCTCTACAATTGCGGCAGCGTTTCCTTGAATCACTTCCACCTTCCTTCAAAGTAAAAATAATTGATGCTGAGCAGGCATTGAGGGTGACTTCTGGTGGTAAAAATAAATGCATGAATTTCACTAATCTCATGCTAATGGCAAATGACTTGCAGAAAGAGAGACCAAAATCAATCATTTGGTCAAGCAACACGGAATCAGGAGTTCAGGACCAGCATCCTCGAACTTTGGTTTTCTCTAATGCTCATGGGAATGCCACCCAATTTTGTTCAGCCAAAAAAAGGGCTGAAACATCAAGTGGCAGTGAAGAGGCCTCCAATCCAGAGGCCGCGGGTTCGAATCCCATCGGAGATGCCAAATGTTGCCTGGTCTAAAATGTCTCGTACCGCAGGTGAGATAAACCTGTTATCTGCTTCTTGACTAGATAGCAACAACCCTATTCTGAATAAAGGAAAATGAAAGACTGGTTCTAATAAATTGAACTAAAATATGGGACAGTGAATAAACACATAACTTGATAAAATTGCAAAAGACTGATTGAATTAATTTGGAGAGTGTAATGAAAATGTGCTAGTTAATAGGATGTAAGGAGCATGGACAGGTGGAGATGAGTAGATTTAACTGCAAACAGAAAGAACAAAATAAAAATGCAAATCATGAATGACTGATAACCTGATGGGATGTAGAATGTAAACAAAGCAAGAACCATTAAACTCCATAAAACTAGTAAAAGCTCATCTCCATATTGTAAATTTATTTTTAAAACTAATTAGTACTTGCATGAGGATTGAATTGAAAAGAATCACTAGAGAACAGATAAATAAAGGAACACTGCAAGATGAATTGAGAACATAAGCTTACTGGAATTAATTATAACCATAATACAATATAATAAATTAACTTCTTCAAACTAAACCATATCAGTCAGAGATGAACACAACCAAAGTAAAATGCAAGGGAACACAAAAGATTAATATCAATGAAATTAGCACAATAACAAAGACAAAACTTAACCTAAATAATCAATGAATAAATGAAATAAATTTCTATGACACTCACCAGTGCAACTGAGTGCCCAGGCTGAGTGAGATATGTACTGAGTAGGAATCCAAATACTTAAGAGTGATAATTCAAGTTTGCAAATGATACTTTGGTCATCTACACTGAAAAAGATAAAAAAATATTTAATTTAAATTGAGTTGGATTGAGAACTAAAGAAATATGATAATTAGTAAAGAGAGACATGAAGGTTGGGCTACACAGTAGCCTTATTTAACCTCCGGTAACAACATCATCTAACTACACATTTAATAAACAGATATCACATACTTTCCATACACCCTGTGTTTATTGATGTAGGTATTTAACAACTTGTGAGGAATAAATTACAGTTTGCTTGCTAGAAATACAAAGCAGATTCTCACTTCTTTTTCTACCATGCACCTGCACTGATCACTTTTATATCAATTTCTAACTGTGCTCAATAAAAACTAACCCATGAGTATTTTTTTTATACCAACACTGCAGTCTCGTTTTTGCTTGACTATCTTGGCCATTAGGGGGCCAATAGGGGCTACATGCTGTGCAGGTTGGCTGGACTTTTATTAACACCTGAAAGCTGATATGAGGTGCAGTGCATGGCATGTTGGTAGAAACTACTCATAAATAATCATAACTTTGAATGTTTATACATTCTGGAACATAGCAGCAATGAGAGTTTTTTTTAGATACCAGTTCATTTATAATTCCCTGATCTAATTGAAAAATCATTTATTTAATTATAAAATAAATTTCTTTATTAAAAATAAAATTTTTCTTATCAATATCTATGCATGTTGATGCTTGTGTCCAGGGTATGTTACTGTTCTATTTATGGGAATCATAAATTAGAAATCTAAAAAACAAAACTCGGTACTTGCTGCAGTAAGTGACAGAGCGCACATTTTCTCATCAACAAAAACGTGAAGTCATGGACAGACGGACAGACAGAAGGACATGACTAGCACAATAGCACGTTTTTTCCAAAAATGAGAAAATGTGCTAAAAAAAGTCAGATTTACCATATAATCTTGAAAACAATCTCTCAATTATGTTTCTCTCTTTAGGTGCTTTCCAGTAAGTAAACTATATTAATATTTAAACTTTTCTCCATTTCTTTACACATTGAGTGCAAAATGACCCACGGGTGGGTTGTTTATTCAAATGAACCACTATTTAATTGAACCCCATAAATTGATATTATCACCTTTTTGAGCACATTGTGTTGATAATAATATGTTACTGTTTGAAATGATAGAAAAATGTGTTTAACTATTGTATTCTTATGCCAGAAAAAGTATATCAATTACCGTCAACTGGGGCTACTCGGGACGATTTCTAATGTTTTTCATTCATGACTTCTCATCATGGAACATTTCATAAACAAGTTTAGGCTCATTTCAAAGCTCTTTGCAAGAGCTATCTCATGGCTTCTCCAAAAAAATTCCATATGCTATTTGTAAGGTGCCAGAAGCAAAAAAATAGTGTCCCAAGTAGCCCCATTCGATGGGGCTACTCGGGACACTTGGAATAAAACTTCATTTTAAAACATTTGAAGCAAGCAGAGTGTACTCATCCAATACTAACAGTACTCCGAAGTCCTCCTCTTTCATTGTAGATGATTGTAGAGGTAGAATAAATGACATTTTCTGTGATTTTTACTTGTTTTTCCTTTATTGATATGATATTACCATATGCATTAATTACCATATTATTGATGCGATATTACTGTATTATTGATGCGATATTACTGTATCCATGAACATGCCATTGAGCATTTACAACAACCTTGTCCATTGCAGGCTTCTTATCAGCAGCCTTATAGCATTTCTTCTGTATCTGTAATCTTACAGGACGGCTTGTAATTTCACACTATTTTAATTGGGTTAAGTGAATTTGCTATAAAAAAAGATCGTGAAAAACATACCTGAAACAGAAAGGAATGTTTTAGTGACAACCATTATATGTTTTGCAGAAATAAATCATAGTTTAGGTCAATTACTTTTCATTCTATGATTCCTGGTGCACAATTCTAAATGTGATATTCTATGCACTATTTTGTGATGACCGATGATGCACTAATTTTTCAATAAGTGAAATTTTTTTGCTGAGCGAGGTAAATGTAATCAATATTCTTTATTTTTAATATATTTTTTTCTTAACTGGAGCCTATGCTGAGATTCTACTGTAAATGCGTTTTTTGGGGTGTCCCAAATAGCTCCGGGCGGGTGTCCTGAGTACCTAGCCCTGCTGTGCGGAAATGGCCACAATTTTTTTTGGATTGAGGTATGTAAATTCCACAAATAAAGTTTTCATCCTGACACTTGTCTGCCACTTTTTTGTAAGCAAAATTTTTTAATACAGCAAATATTTTTTTTACTACAGACCTTAGCACAAGTAACTTTTCAAAATATCATTTTCACAATTTTTTTCAGGAATTTTTCAAAGCTAGTAAATGTAGTATTTTTGAACTTCCTTTATACTACATGGATAGGAAAAATTTTGACATTTACGCCACTATATTTAGTTTTGCAATATTCCAATTAGTTTTGCTACTAAAACAGTTTTACGCCATGTCAGAGGACTGTCCCAAGTTACCTCGCCCATCCCGAGTAGCCCCGGTTGATGGTACCTAAATTAGAAATTTAAATTGGAACTCAAAAAGAATTGCACCAGTGCACAGTTGGCTGCTTCAGGATCAGCATTCAATGTATTAATCTTGATATATCTGCCTACAGATGTGTGGCTTAAAAATATCCCCATCCTGTTGAAGGGATTAGGAGGAACAAGTCTTCATTGCTGCACAATAATGCCAGCAAACAATGAATAAAAATTTCTCTTGATACCTGTCAGGTTAGAAGTTATTATTTATTCTGCTCATTATTCTGCTACCACTCCATACCAGTGTTACAATATCAGTTGCTATGATACATTTTTTATTGAAAATAGATATAAGATAAAAATTATTTCCCATGAATTGCATTTGCATTTATGCATGAATGAATTGCATGAATTGCATTTTGCATTATTATAGTCTATTCAGCTGAGAAATTTGCTCTCTGATCATTCAAATTCATTGGTTAATATGAATTGAATGGAAATTGTGAGGCTTAATATATATCATTATTATGTTAATTAGGTGGATGGAGTTTGCAATGATGGCAAGTAACACATTCAATTCTGAAGTTGTGCAACCACTTCCTGCTGCTGCCATGGAGAGGGGCTGCAATGCTGTGCCAAGCCTTGCTCAAATTTGTGCTGATGTTGTTGAAGGGAAGTCTGGAGGTGAGCTTGGTGACCCGGTGTTTACTGTACACTACTAGGATTTGAACTTTTAGTTGAGGGTTCAATCCCATTTCTTGTGACACTTCTGGTCAGAATTGGCAAGGTGGCAGGATGGTTAAGAATTGATGACAGGCCCAAATGGCCTAATCAGCACTGACACTGCTATATATATTAAAAATGTTGTTGAAACGTTAGCTTAAAGTTTGTATACATAGTTTTGCGCAGTTCTGCTGGTTGTAAAGTTGACAAAATTTTGTGAGTATTAGACTCTTTAAGCTGAATTTAGATTAAAATTTACAATTAATTTTTACTTACAAGAACCATATAGGTATATGCAAAAGAGTGCTAAGGAACTTTAATCATGAGGGAATTATTTTTGTATGATAAAAGCTTATAGCATTATGCAGTTCTAAAGAACCACAGTGTTAGAAAAAAGTGAAAGTGTTAGAAAGTGAACCATAGTGTTAGTGTGAAAGAGCATCATAATTTTTATTGTGCAGATTCATATGCTGCTGCTCTTGCTTCAAGTGCAGAAGTTAGAACTGAGAACATTAAGAAAGAAATGGAGCCTGTATGTGTGAAGGAGGAGCCATCACAAGATTATGATGAGGTATGCAAGATACCTACTATTCCTCTGAATATTTGAATATAATCTAATTCCTTAATATTGTATCAATTGTCTTAATTGAAGAGTAATTTATTTATATTAATGAATGAGAACCTGTCAAAAACTAATCATGAATCATTCTTTTACACCTGAACAGCTATAAACAAAGCATGGTATATTTGCATTTTTATAGTCTATTTATGACAGCTTCCTTCAATTTTCCTATGTTGAATGTTTCCAACTGTTGTGACAGGCTTGTGCAAGTGATTACCTGGAGCTCGTCATGACTTCGTCAATACCTAGTCCTGGAGCTCATCACGACTCTCTTCCACCATCTCATCATGACTCACTTTTACCATCTCATCATGACCCACTTCCACCATCTCATCATGATCCACTTCCGCCATCTCATCATGACTCATTTCCCCTATCTCCATCTTGCTGGCCTGGCAAGATGGAGGAGCCGTGTGAGGCTCTTGATTATCTCGACGCTGGTCAATCTTCCTTGCTCTCTGATATTGTAACAGAACTGGTGAGTTCTTATTGATATGAGGAAATATGTATGGAAATATTATATATATTCCTATATTTTACATTTTATTTAAAGAAATAAATATTTCGAAATTCTTGAATTGCAAAAGTGTAGTATCTTGTTGAGAATAAGCACCCTAGATGTTGCTGGGGTGCGTATTCTTAACAGGAACATTGCTCAGGTGCGTATTCTTAACAAGACCCAATAGTCATGATATGGAGATGCATTAAAACAAGGTGGGTCACATTGATATTTGAGGATAAAGTTACATATCAAAATTCCTAATTGATGTTTGAGAAGAGGTGTTGGTACATTCATTTGTACCAAAGAACAATTAATGAGTTGTTTTCATTATGAGGAAATATGAATTATGGAATTCTCATGTAGCGATTGTCTCAGTAGACGCTAGAAAATTAATTTCTGTCCAACCCTGAGGAGCAATGCCCCATTTATCAATGGAAACATCTGATTTGCAGCATCCACTGTCAGTCTGTGTGGCATTCATGCACAATGCAAAACGAGCATCGTCAACGCAATCTCCTGGGTTTGGACCAGCTAAAAGTAGTACTCCCAATCAACCTGATGACAAGAAGGCAAAACACGCAGCATTGATGAGGAAAATACGAAGTGATCCCCTCAGGAAGGCTGTTGAGCAGGCGCAGAACACGGCATCACGCAGAGAAAAACGAAGTGATCCTGTCAGAAGGGCTGCTGAGCAGGAGCGGAACACGGCTTTACGCAGAGCAGCACGAAGTGATCCCGTCAGAAGGGCTGCTGAGCAGGCACAGGACACGGCAGCAAAAAGAGCAGCACGAAGTGATCCCGTCAGAAGGGCTGCTGAGCAGGCACGGAACACGGCATCAAAAAGAGCAGCACGAAGTGATCCCGTCAGAAGGGCTGCTGAGCAGGCGCGGAACACGGCTTTACGCAGAGCAGCACGAAGTGATCATGTCAGAAAGGCTGCTGAGCAGGCGCAGAACACGGCATCATGCAGAGCAGCACGAAATGATCCTTTCAGAACAACTGGCACTTATTATTCACATAATGCAGATGCTCCGGAACAACCATTCTTCGATCATTTCGCGGTAGCTCCGGTCAACCTAAAATTTCACGAAAATACATAAAAATTGAAAACCCACCCCATGGCGCAATAAAGACAAAGTCCTGTAATAAGGACCTGAGATTAAAACCTTGGTCATGTTACATATTTTTGGAAAGGCCAAGCTTCAACCAATCTAAAACTATAATCTAAATCATGGCACGTTTTAAAGTATTCTAAAAATCTACGAAAACATGAAGTCACGGACGGACGGACAGACGGACATAACGAGCACAATAGGGCCTTATTTTCCGTAAATGAGAAAATGCGCTAACTATTCTATGTTATCGACGTGTCGATCTCATTGATGTATACAAGTATATCTATGGTTCATATAAGGTACCAGGATTCCTAGGAGTTGAAACACGAACCAACACCTGAGACCACGGTTATTAACTGGAAAAACTGCGTTGTAACACATCCGTGCGACAACACTTCTCGCTTCGAGTCACCGACAAGTGGAACAGCCTTCCTGATGACATCGTTGTCGCTCCGAGAAGAACGCGTCCAAGATCAGACTAGAAAGCTATTCGAGATCATATGTTCAGTCTTGAAATGCTTAGCACGTTACGGACCTGGAAATAAGCCCAGTAGCTATCTCAAACCAATGTCAGTTATGAAAAGATTTGGTCAAAGGCCGATTTTCAGATCTCCTTTGAATCAGGTCACGAAAAGTGCAAGAATCGGTAATAGGCCATGGGCCTATTTCTTCAGCGCCGACACTTCTATTCGAAGACATGTCGACCCAAATGTCGCTCTTCATATAGGGTTTATTCTCACACAGCTCGCACTACCGAGTGTGCTTCGCTCATACTGGCCAAAATCTGGAAACACGTAGTTCTCCAATTTTCGAGCATTTGTGGGAGATATCCAGGAAGATTTTCTGGGGCTTAAATTCTTGGCGCAGGATGCTTTTGTCCGGTGTCAATTTACTTGACCTGATAGAGATTGAGGACGAGTCAACACCTGGTAGACACGTGATGGATCACGCGATCAAGACCTCAGTAGTGGGCGGAAGCGAAGCTAATAAAAGGTCTAGCAACCTTAAGCAAACCCCCCAGTAGCTGATGAGCACTCCGCGATGTAGCGTGTCGGTAGAGTTCTCCGACCTTACGGTCGATGCCGTAGCTTATTCCTCTGTATCGCGACTCTGTATTACCACCCCGTATACAAGATACGTTATTTGGACTGATGTGTCTTACTTATCCCTCACTATCTTAGTCAACGTAACCCGATCCTGAGGTAGAGCTTCATGTAGTGAGTTTAATATATATATGTTGTTGTTACTTTTCTTTCTTTTATCTTTTTGGTGTTAGTTTGGTTCGGTTCCTTTCCTTTCCGTTGGATTCTTATTTTTTGAGCTTGTTTTATTGTCACCTTTTGTTTTTGTGTTAGTTCCGGTTGTTTTCCCATCCGTTTTTTTCGATTTCTTCTATTTTTGGGCCTTGTAGCTGCTTGTGTCTGTGCTATTTATTTTCCTGTGGTTGTATCGTTCGCGCGCTGTACAATCTATTTGTTGTGGCGGTATTCCGTTATGGCCCCACATTAACAGAATATTCATCCTCTTCTGAAGCTTTTTTGTTCTCACTGCTGCTGGAAACTTGCCACGGAGGTTCATCACTTTACGTAGAGGGTTTTGGTTTTTGTTGGTGTGAGTGTCTGTGAAATCACAAGCGCTAAAGATATCTATTGTATGTTGTTATTGAAAGAACTGAAATCGATTCGAGGAAGATCCTTCGCGTGCAACACTTAGTAATGATTTAAATACTAATTTGAATTATTCTGTCACAAATGCGCCCAATAAATGTGACGAGTTTATTTCTTAAACACAACAACCAAGTTAGGCGCTACGGCAACCCTCCTCTTCCACAACGCCTCGTGATTTTACCATTGAAAGTTACATTTTAATCCTAGGTAATGAATATACATGTACCTACACAATAACTATCCTAAATAGGCGGTCTATTATCCCCTCCCATATTTTGCATGTAATTACGCAAACATTGTAAAAATATATGTCTGATTTCAATGTACCTTAGCCTTTGATATTCATTTCCTTAACGTTATTACTATGACGAAGGGAGCCCATCCGTGGACCAAAAATTTAACTCGTAAACCAGCCCTAGCGCCAGCGCCTACCCTCATAATGCAATAACTATACTCAGCCTCGCACCCAAGAAGCTGTAGGTAACTGAGTCATCTCACCTCACAAACTTTAACTCACAGCTGCCTCACTCCACAGCCTGCTGCATCAAATAGTTAATTATCAACAGGTCCCACTCCATAGAATTTTACTCCATACTATCACTTCTCACACGTGCCGTAAGCCTTAATTACTGTCCGCAGACTACGCCGGATCACCGTAAACCTGCTCTGCTCCTAGCAGGACTGGCGTAATCCCGCCGCACGCCACAGGCTGAAGCGCTTCTGGCCCAACCTATTACGCCATGCCCCGACTCTCCCCCTTCCGCAGTCAGAAAGCTTTGCTCGCTCGCTGATCAGTTGTGCGCCAGGCGCTATGGAAAGAGGACATGCATGAATTGCTTTCCGAGCAGCTCGTCAACTCTCGCTAATCATACATTTGACGCTGTTGGAAATTGTTGCTGCACGATACTGAATTTCTAGTGATGCATGAAGGGAAGGCAAACATTTGTTATCCTCTGGGATTTTGTTCACATGGCAGATTGAAAGAATGCTTAGAACTTAGAATAAAGTCCTAAATTCCCGTTATAAAGACCATGAAAATCAATTTATTAACAATTTAAAGAGGATATGAGCTGCAAGCGGTTTGGCTTTCTCTATTGATTGAACTTGTCACGTCCAGTACGTGCATGACGTGTAATTTTTTATTCGTACGCTAAATGCGCGGACGTCACAGTATGCAAATTCACGTTCACCCCGCCCGCACCTTGTGTTGATAGCTGCTGCTGGGAGTATAGCGCTACAGCTGCGCTACTCCATAGGCCGATTAGTTTTAAGTGTTATACATGTTTTGTTAATTTATTGTGATTTGTGAATCTCATCCATTTATCGCCAGTGTAACGTAATTTGTCTATCTCTCAGGGCTAGGGTAAAGCGACCAAATTCCACCTTAAGTTTACCATTCAGACTAGGGCTGCCATTCACGTAAGTTCAGTAACCTGCTGCTGTCACAAGTGATGCATTCTGATATATCTGGCAACATTATGATTTAAATGTCGTTAAACCTGAATCCTTTAGTAAATGAAAAACACTTTTATTGTTTGTATATTTGACTTTCTATTTGCGGCATTTTCTGTTCCGCAGTTTAACAAAACTGAAATAAGAAGATTTAAATGAAGATGTCAGAAGCCTTTATTTCTAATTGTTCCTGCCTGGCTATTATTGAGTGGCCCTTGGAATTCTAGCCAGAACAGAACTTGTATTCCTTGCAATTTTTTAAACCGATTTTTGCATGGTTAAACTATATAAGGTTGACTTAAGAGAAGTTCCGCCTTTCAGTTCAGCTTTCTTGTTACGTCACGTAGATCGAGAAACGTAAACAAACCCGTCATTCTCATGACGGATTGGTTGACTGGTTTGGTCGCATTTCGGTAATTGGTTAATGCCCGTGACGTCACTGAGATCAGTGACGTCACAGGCGAACAACGAACTACATGCGCGAAAATGAGCTTCTCATGGGTCAACCTTATACTACTTCAACCATGCGATTATGGTACGAAACGTTCGCAATGAAGGTGTGGTAAATTTAAATGTCCTCTATTTGCTTTTAAATTATTTCCCATAATTTCAAGCAAAGATGAATATTTAGGATGTTAATAAGAGAGGTTGCTCATGAGGCGTATCGAAATTCATTAAAAAATTGGGTGATATTAAGAATTACACGTTTGTTTCGTACTGTCACCGACAATTTGCTTTGCAAAGAATGCAAGATATTCAATAACTGTCTAATGCCTATACGATAGCAATTCCCTCGTTAAACATGACTGAACTGAAGAGATGTGGTTGGTCAACCGCCGCATAATTCCCCGAGCTGCTTAAATAATCTACTTGCGAGGGAGCGAAATAAAATGTGATGCATGCGTAATTACTGACGCTAATTATAATGAACGATATCGGAACAATATTTAGCATTCTTTTCTGAATGAACATGTATTGGGTTTGCTCATCCGCTCATGATAAAGAAAAAGAAATTTTATTCATATTATCGAGTAAAACGTACAAAACTTCACCTTAAAAAGAAATGATGAATGATTCTAATTCCTAAATTAGTGCTATTAGCTTAAACTGATGATTCTCATATAATAATGAGTTCACTCGCGTAGCTCAAACGAAAATGCAATTTAACAGCCAAATTCACTTCAGAACTGCAAATCGTAGAGCCATTCAGATATCAGGCAAGACAATTGACGTTAAATAAGAACTATAACCGCTTTTCTCATGCGCAGTTAAGTGGTACGTGCAATTTCAATAGAATAATTGAATAGTTGCACGCATTGTATTTACGATACCGTAACTTGTAATCGAAGTTAAGGGTTATATTTGTTAACTATTTACACGTTTCCTTTAATTAATCTTATAGAACACAAACGATTGTGTCCAATTCATTAGCAAATGGAACGAAAACTTCTACTTGGGTAAAGACAAAAACTATTTCGATCGAGAGTCACAGAGAACTAATTAAAAGATGGTAGCAATAACGCGGTCCCTGCTGTCGCCAACACACACCTCAGGCCTACCGCGTAGGTATTACCACTCCACCAAATGCGTCAAAAAATGAGAAAAGTTTAGATTCGCACCACAATATATGAGTCATTATGTTTCTTGTACCTATATCTGTGCGCCCGAGTCTGGAGTTTGGAAACGTTGTGTGGTCACCGAGATTTGATAAGGACAGAAATTTAATAGAGAATGTTCAAAGACGTGCAACAAGGATAATTCCAGGCTTGAAGGGCAAGTCCTATGAAGAAAGATTGAAGATTATGAAGCTTCCAAGCCTCAGTTATCGACGTCTGCGTGGGGACCTCATTGAAGTATACTGAAGGATTACTAGAATTTGAAATAAGAACCAACACCAGGGGCCACGGCTATAAGCTAAAAAAACTGCGCTGCAACTTCTCCACGCGACAAAATTTCTTCTCGCTTCGAATCACCGACATGTGGAACAGCCTCGCCGATGACATCGTTGGCGCTCCAAGTATGAACGCGTTCAAGAACAGACTAGATAAAGCTATGGAAAAATATATGTTCAGATTTGAAATGCCTAGCTCCTTATCGAACGTGGTGGAAGTCTAGTAGCTACTTCAAACTATCGTCAGTCATGAAAAGATCTGGTCAAATGACACGATTTTAGATCTTCTGTGGACAAGGCACGAAAAAAAGAAAAAGAATCAGCGACAGGCCACATCAGGCCTACGCTTCAGCGCCGACATCACTATGTTATGTTATGTACTCAGTGCTTGAGATGCATTTATGAACTATTCAATGCACTACTGCAGTACAAAAATGTCATGAAACTCACTGCACCAGGACCAGGACAGCCTAATAGATCGTAGCCTAAACAATAATTAATGAACGACCTAAGAGTCTCAACGTAATGTTGTCGTGACTTGAAAAAATTAGCGACATTTTACAGTGTATTACGGTATGGAAATTTCGCGAAGCGAAATTTCCGAATTGAAAGCGGAAAGGTTCCCGAATTGAATATCGGGAACCTTTAAAATTAGCTAATTTTCATAAAAACTGATCTATAGAGACAAATGAAATAAGCAACAAAATATGAATACACAGAAGATTCTCAGTTTACTTTTTAAAAGTTTCGATGCATTAATTGTTATTGGTAACAAATTTATCTTCCGAGAAGGGATCTTTCGATCCTTCACTGAGAGGCCAATAAATTTTTATAAGGAACTGGTGAGCAAATTTAGACGTTTAATTACCTTACATGGAAGATTTTTACCAATATAATGTTAGATATTGACATATTGTATAAGAATTTGTTCGCCACTACTGACGTTAGCGAGGGGATAATCCATAGTTTCAAAAATTGTCAACGGTGCTGTGTACATAACTCGAGGCCGCCTTGGCATGAGGTTTATCGATCCCAAGATAATCATGGAATGTCGATGAAAATTATTATCATACCGAACATAAAAAATAGAGAGATTTACATGCCGGTTGGACGAAAAAAGTCCAAACGGCATGTGAATTGTTAAAATTAAATGCACGATTACTCAAATCGAAAATTCTCTTTTTATTCTGTAGCAAAATGAGGAACATATTGGCCACGATTTTAATGGAAAAGTTTTAAAAAATCAGGAACATCCTCACGTCAAAACTTCAAGCACCGCTATGATCAAATCGATGAATGCTAGTTCGATTCTGTAATACATGTGCTGGAATGGAATTAATTAGATTTTTCGATACCATGGACCAAATGAACTTTTTGTAGAATATGGAAAAAATTGGTCAAATTGACATTTTCAAAATGGAATATTTGAATTTCGTCATAACATGACATAGTTATCTCGGCGCTGAAGTGTAGGCAGAGCTGGGCAGCGCTACTTTGAAATGTAGCGGGAGCTACCGCTACCGCTACAATGGTTTAAATGTAGCGCCGCTACCCCTACCGCTACTGAAAATGTAGCGGCCGCTACATGTAGCGCGCTACTACCCACCTCTGATGCTAACTTAAATCCTTCGTGAAATTCACGCTGTAATCTTGCATTATTGAATACTTTATCAAAGACCAAGAGGGCCCGCACTCCACAACAACGTTATAATTGAGTCTAAAATCTAAACAATAATTTAAGTCCAGACCCTGCTTGGTGTAAGTTTCATGTATATTCTTTCTATATATGGTCAAACTATTGTTAAATCTCACTCCCAGCTTACGTCATCAATACCCTCGAGAAAAGACTACAAACTAAAACTCTTCGTTTCCTAACTGCGTAACATCAATGTCATATCCCTTTCCGTGGCATACAGGAACAAGGCTGATTAATGCTTGCCGAAGTAGCCGAGAGGAGGGCAGTTCACCCATGCGACATACAGCATACAGACGACTGGACGAGTTTTTAGAACGGGATTCCAAAATTGAGATTTTATGACTGCGTTCATTTTAAAGCGAGATTATAAAAGAAATTTCAAAACGGTTTCTTTTCAGAGGCAAACCATTGCATTTCTAACTTCTCGAATAACAAGCGCTGGCTTGTTAAGAAATGCCGAACTTTTCTCTCTTTAAATTTTAGAGAGAGATCATTCTTAGTAACGCCACTAAGACTCAGACTCGGTGTGCTGTTCAAGTTTCTAATGTTATCGTCTCTTTTCTCACATTTTTAGTTCAGATATCATTCTTACAACAAATGAACTCCCACAACATGATACAATATGCACTAGCAATAAGATGGCTGCATGAATGGCACATCTTTATGGAATAGTTGAAAAAAAATTCCGTATGTTGACAGCCCTTTCAAAAACATTTGGAAAATAAAAAGCCGTCTGGCGCTGAGTGCAACGTTGTATACTTCCATTTACAGCAGAAAATAAAAAAGCCGGTCTTTGACTGCCAGCGTTGACATACACAACCCTGTTATAGGCTCACAGCTTCACCAGCAGCCCTCCTGCTGCACGGGGTTGTACTCTATGCCGTCAGGGTTGAGCCCCAAATCCTCTGAGGGGAGAAAAAACATATCTTTACGTAACAACATGAACAGGAGTACTCAGCACAGAATCATTCATCTTTTGCAGTGAAATTCACATTAATTTCAGGGGAAGAATAATATTAATTTGCTTCCCGTATAGTTTCAATGCTTCTTGTCTTACTATTATTGCCCATTCTTCGTCTAAAAATACCGTTATCTTGAATAGCTTCAGAAAGTTGAGACATGTTTAGAAGTCATCAAGCAATAAACCTGCCTTCAACTCCTTACTCTTGAAATTATTTACAATTACAATAGGATCTCTCGAATGATTCTATACAATATGACCTTTCGAATGATTCTAAGTTTGAATCACATTCCACACGATTCATTAGTCAAAAAACGTTAGTTCACGTTATATAGTGCTCAAAGAAATGCTACACTTTTGCCTAATCGCCAACATACAATTGTTATGTTGTAATTATAAAATGAAACAAGCCGATTGAAAACAATAATTAGAAGAGGCTTTCTTAAATACATTAACTTGCCCTCAGATGATATACTAAGGTGGAACTATCATTCTCAGCATTGGAATGAGAAGAATTCGAAATAAGTTATCTCATTTTCATTGCAACAGCATAAAAAAGAAAGACGTCAAATTTAAATTACATGTTACCCTTGATTTAAAAGGTATTGGATCGTAATTAAAATATTTACTTTTCTCTGAAACAAAATGATTACTTTAAAGTTCCAAATCAAGCGACGCTCACGATACTTAAATAAACCGTGTCTCTAGTGAATGTCTCGAGATCTCATCTTCATGTACAAAATTTTTCATCTGAATTTCAAACTATAGCAGTGAGGTATATTACAATTTTCTTAATCATTCATCACTAGAATGACTGAATAGGCCTGGACTCGTGTTACATAAATTACAGCAAGTCATTCGGTTCAAAGCTTAAGAACCTTAACACCAGTCGAGCGCACACTTTCCACCTAGTTCTAAGTACCACCTAAATGGGCTCAGCTAGATCGCGTGACGAAGCTTTTTGATTTACGTGGCTTCTCGTTTGCTTTTAGTCTTCATGCAACGTTTCCGTTTGACATATCCATTGCACAACATATCCATTAGACATTGCTATCGCACGGTAATCACACAGATCTCGTAACTAACATCATTTCTCGATCCGTCGTTGCAACTAACATGCCATAAGAAAGTCTTAGACGTTAATTAAGATTTCCTAATAATTGATCTAAGAAGGCAGTGAGGTAGAAATTTATTGGAATGGCTTGGAATATAAATCTGATAGACAATCCGTATGCAGTCTGCACTTTATCTGCGGCCTCTAATTGTGCTAAAATGGGGCCCCATGGGCTTTTTTTTATAAATGCCTTGGCAAGTGTTGCATTTGCCGTCTGGCTCATTTCTAAAGGCCCGTTCACACTAGGGGCAACACACGAGAATCAAGGGCCTCAAAGCGCATGCAGAGGCGCTTTGCAGCCTCTGCATGCGCTTCTTGACCGATTGACGAGCTAGCGATTGGCATTTGGCAGGGGCCATGCCTCATGAAACACAAGCACGGCGCTTAGTAGATAGCTATTAAAGAATTGATATCACTTGTATGCTTAAATCGCAAATTAACTAAGAATTTAAATTGAATTAAAAATTTAAATCAAATTAAAAATCTAAATTAATTAAATAGAGAAATTCAATTCGTTCTATGGTTGCAATGTATCAATTTGTGACTTCTGATTTGTGATTCTAGATTCAACGAACTGACGATGGAGCTGGTCTCCGAAACGTTTTCTATAAAGATATGAATTTTTGTGGACTATTCTTTGCTTTTAAATTCTTAGTTAGTAGATAGCTGTCTGTGGTCTAGTTAGGTTAATTGTGTACGCTGGTCCGGCACACCTAATGTCAACACCACTCTCGTTTGGAGTCACTCTCTAGTAGAGAACCTAATTGATCTTTATATAGAAAATGAAAGCTTATGGAGTGTTTGGTCAAAGGAGTACAAAAATCGAAATGCAAATGATGTAAGTTATTTTTACATGACGTGTTTAGTTTATGTGATTTTAGCAACTCCTGACAATTTATGCATTACCGTTTAGCGATTTCAAAGGAATTGATATAATATCGGTACGAATATTGGAACTTTTTATTTAAGAATAGACTATATTTTTATAAACTGTATCTTTTTGAATGTGCTAGTTCTCTAATTATGATGCCTATGCTAAATTCTCGTTTACAACTGGCATAGTGCGAAGAATGACTGACCGCAGCACACCCGAGAAAAATGGCCCACAGCTCAAATTCGGTTACATCCACCCTCATTGACGTCTAGGTGGCAACTAGTGTTCAAAGCGCGCAGTCTCAAACTACCCGAGTACAAAAGTAGTGTGAACGGTTGTGCGCGGTGAGGCACTGCAGCAAACGACTCAAAACACATGTCGTTGCCACTAGTGTAAACGGGCCTTAAGACTGGCCAGATAGCTAAAAAATATTATTATTTTATTATATGTATATACCCCCAAAAATTTAGTTAGTTTAAAACTTCGTGACAATTAATCCACATGGTTTTTACTTTCTAATCTCACATGTTTTACCCTCAAAGGAACCAATAACATGCGGGAAATGAATGCCCCACCAGCATATTGCAGGAGGGCCGCTTCCTTGTCAGCCGCAATGGTTGCGGTGCGCGAGAGGATGTGCACGCAGTAGTTCGTCACTCCGTTGTCATTAGTGTCGCAGTCGTACTCCACGGCCGAGTCCTGCAACACATTATAATTGGTCGCAGTGCTAAGCAGCATTAGTAGCAGTGCCTGCACTCCCCAAATCATAATTTCTAAGTTATGCAGCAGTGCGTTTACTATTGCCAGCACTCACCACATCATAATTGCTAAGTTATGCAGCAGTGCGCTTATTGTGGGAGCGCAGCCGTGGGTAACAAAATTGACTCGTAAACAGGCCCTGGGCCCAAGGCTAACCATCAGCATGCAATATCTACACAGGCTCAGAGCAATGAGCTGTGGGTAACTCCGGCTAACAGTAAATCCGCTTTGCACAACACAGCCACTGCTTCACAGCGCCGGAGCACAACTGGCCGGAGCGCAACAGGCCCTACCGCAACAGGCGGCGCAGGTTAGGTTAGGTTAGGTTACGTTAGGAGTAGCTGTTGCCGTAGGGCCTGCTGCGCTCCGGTCAGTTGTGCTCCGGCCTGTATGCGCTCCAGCCTGTGACTGAACGGCGCTGTTGTGGTGGGCGCTTTGTGTCGAAAGCCGTGAAGATGCCCGGCTGCGTTATGCTCGGGAAGGTATATAAATCGCACTGTGGACTTGGGCTATGCTGACCTCTAGCTATCCATCCCTTATTGTTGCCTCCACTCACCACATCACAATTGCGGAGCTTTGCAGCAGTGCGTTCATAGTTGCCAGCACTCACCACTACATAATTGCTAAATTAGGCAGCAGTGCTTATATGGTTGCCTGCTCTCAACACCTTGCAATTTCTTGGCTTGGCAGCTGTGAGCTCATTGTTGCGTGCAGTCAAATTGACTTTGATGGAAGTCATGCATTTCTCGTGATGTTTGAGTAGTCTATAGAATGATTGTGAATAGAATGGGGGAAGGATGTACGTGGTGAGAGTATGAGACATCTTCTGTTAAGGACGTTTCCAGAGAGCCCTACGTCATGCACGATAAACAAGTTCTTTGGGATTTTAATAAAGCTGTTGTGAGCGCCCAATGAATACCCCAGTACACCGTGCCGTCGCGGAGAGAGCGCTCATGTGATTTATCTCAGTAGTTCTTATCTCAGGGAAGGTCACCATGTTATGATAGCGCTAAGAATGATGATTGAGGCCCGATTTGTGGAGATATTACCCGTTAAAGATTTACAGCGTTTAGCAATGTGGTGCCTATACCTCTCCATACTTATTCCCTTATCATACTTCATTAATGTGATCTCCATTTCTCATCACTTTGGTGCCCTACCTCGTCAAACCTCACCATGTACATCAATGCGGTGACCATGACTCGGCATACCTCACCAATGTGGAATCCACTCCTTACCATACCTCACAATGTGGTGCACATATCTCAACATACCCCATCAATATGGTGTTCATACCTCACAAGACCTTTCAAATGTGGCACACAACATACCTCAACATACCTCACCATGGCCACTCATGGTGAGAGATGGTATCCACTCATCACCATACATCAGCAATGTGGCGCCCATACCTCACCATACCGCACCAACATGTTGTTCATACCTCAACATACCTCACCAAGGTGGTGTTCATACCTCATCGATGTAAATCACGTAGTAGTTGAGAGGTCTGGAATTAGGGTATGGATAAACCTGCTTGAATTCGCCGGGATTGCCGGTGTCGACCAGAGTAGCTGCTCAATATTAGAATCGAATCGAACAAGAAATCGAATTAGAACAATTATATGTATTTATTCAAACATGTTTATACCTCACATTATTTATTATAATAATATAATCTACATTTGTAGAGCGGTAACGTATGTAAGAAAGACATTGCGTCATTGTGACAGCCTCCAACCTTACCACCTGACGTGCACTAAGCTTGTAGTCATTCGAGTCCGATATTTTAGACAGACGGCAATGAAAAATGATTCACTTACTCTGATATTCCCCTTGAAGCGGTGTTGAAACTACATTGCAATTCCCTGACTCATATTATTATGCACTCAATATATGTCATTTATAAATCTAAATCATATGGCTTAGAGAGTAAATCAAAAATTATAATCAACTGCTTATTAATTTATTGTTAATGTTTTCAGAAGGGCAGAGTTGCAAAAAATGTAATTGCTTTCTATGTCACCCGATGAAAAGTTAGTCGTTAATTTGTCGTTTATGTTCACAGGATAATTGCAAAGAACATTCGTATCATGACACTGGCGAAGACAAATTTATTGAAGAATTGCGCCATAACGATACCTTAGCATTTGTACGAATTCTAAGGCATAGGTACGAATGTACTGTGTTTGATGTTAATTTTTAGACCCCAACACATTGCACTTCCACGTTATAATTAATATACATGGACACGAATAGGACTTATTTGATTCGTCTAGCGCTTTATTAGTATTAACCTTTCCCCATTACGCAGTTGTATCAGTGGGCTTAGTTATACGAGGTTATTCTAAATGACGGACCCAATTTAATAAATTTGTATTCATTTAATTTAAAATTCAAAACGAATAATTTGTGCAACAATGGAAAGAAAAACATTCAAAGTTTTTTAGCGCATTTTCTCATTTATGGAAAAAATGCACTATTGTGCTCGCCATGTCCGTCTGTCTGTCCGTCCGTCCGTCCGTCTGTCCGTCCGTCCGTGACCTCAAGTTTTCGTCAACGAAAAAATGCGCTCTCTGTCACTCACTGCAGTGAGTACTGAGTTATATTTTTTACTATCTATAAATGTTCATTATTTTCAATATGTCAACATGTCCTCCTAGTGCCAGATTTTCATTTCCCACTTTGGAAATGAAGCTTAGGCCTGGCTCCACACTAGCTGAAGGGGCACTAGCCACACTCATCAGGTGCTGAACTGCTGGTTACTTGGAACGTCCCACCTCTACCAGCAACTCTGTTTACGTCCCGTCTCTACCAGTAACTCTGTTTACGTCCCACCTCTACCAGCAACTCTGTTTACGTCCCGCCTCTACCAGCAACTCTGTTTACGTCCCGCCTCTACCAGCAACTCTTGTGAACCGTATCACTGCTACGGTGCACTCAGTAACAGAAGATATGCTTCCACGTGTGTGGGACGAGTTTGGCTACCGTTTAGATGTTTGCCGTGCAGCACAAGGAGGACTTACTCGTATTGATCATTTATAAACATGTAAAAATGACATTGCATTAATCTCTTTCCATTGGTGAATAAATTATTAATTTTGAATGTATATTTAACTAAATACGAATTTATTAAATTGGGTCCATCATTTAGAATAACCCTGTAGAACCAAACATTGAATTATTACTATGGGTCACCATTGGCAAAGACAGGGTCGGCCTGAGGCGAGAAGCGCCGGCATACGTAAGAGATGGTGCCGTTGCCCTGCACAGGCTCGTCCGTCACGAAGTCAGAGACGTCGCACATGCAACCAACCTGCAAGGCAGCTCCTCCAGGCGTCTGAGACTGGAATGACACAAGAAATAAATTTCAAATGGTATGGGACACGGACGTCCTACCAAAAATAGTTAAGAGTTCGTAATTCCGTCGGCCAAACTGAACCAGCCAATCACAGACGACAAATCGGCCGTCACATGTACTGATGCTAGTTATGGTTGCAAGGCCCCAGGACTGACAACATGGGTGCCTCGTCCATTATCATTCCTATAGTTTAACATGATTTTTCCGAAAAACTCAGTCTCAACAATCGTTCTTTTTAGCGCATTTTCTCATTTAAGAAAAAAAGTGCTATTGTGCTTGTCATGTCCGTCCGTGACTTCACGTTTTCGTCGACGAGAAAATGCGCGCTCTGTCACTCACTGCAGTGAGTACTGAGTTATATTTTTTTACTGGAAAAGTTTTAGGTTTGGTGCAATGAAACGAACTCAACCTACATATTAACTTGTCGTTTAGGTCTCGTTGCACTAGCATATATCAGTTACGCGATGCGTTTAGTTGTCACGCATGCCCACATCAGAAGCTCCTATTTAAACCTATAATTAAACGTATCTTTGGTAGCATTCGTATCAAGTGTACATAGAATACTAACAATAATTAAACAACCGTTCTAAGAGTATTCATTGCGCATTCTGTGTACTAATGTCGCATCGTAAATTCGCATTCTGCTAATATTTTGTTTGATTCGCTCATGCATTTTCACTAATTATTTTCACAGTATGATCACGCACCCTGCCCATCTCGAACCAGTGTCCCTCGTACAGAGCGTTGACGTAGTTGGGGGCGGTGGGGGGCGTGCGACACGTCGTGTTAGACGCTTGCACGCCACTCATCGCAATCACCACCACCTGATCACAGCAAGAAGTATTCATTTTATTTTACTTTATTGATTTATTTATGAGAGCTGTAGAATCGAAATCCTAACTCAAAATTTTTAATTTTAAATTATTATTTAAAATAGTGATAAGGTAGTAGTAAGAAGGCTATGGAAGCAAAGTCGCAATTACAATTATTTCACCGTGTGGTGTTTAAGACATAGAGCAATATAAATATAAGTATAGCAATATAACTTCTATCATTGAAGCACATAAAATGTACGGCAATATTTTTAGATAAGGGCAATTTTAGTAGTAGTGTTGCTACGATTGTAATTGGAGTGCTACAAATCATTCCATTTATTCCTTTATGGAATATTTTTCCTTTCGTGCCTATGAAATATAGCACCTTTTTATTCATAGAATAGAATAAGACAGAAGTATTTCCTTAAGATCTCGAAAACGCAAGCTCACTGCTCAAATCTTGCTCAGCTTAACCGCCCGATTACTCCATCGATTTTATCCGGAACTGTGGCAGGAAGCAAATGGTTGAACACCCTTCCCCTTCTCTCTGCTCTAAATTTGGTCCTCTGAACAAAATCCTGCCTACCATCCTGCTTTAATGACAATTTCGTGTATTATTTACTATTTTTTTCATATACTACAAGAATTTGCGCACTGCTTACAGCTTTAACTGACCTGGTTAAAGCTCAGTTACAGCTTTGCAGCATTTTCGTCTTAGAAGCAACAATTTATATTAAAAGACCAAGACTGGAATGAAGACTGCAGTCCCCTGCATTTTTCAGCAAATTTTAGCACAGGTTTCATGACAAAAATAACACAAAAACTGAAAAAGTCCTTCGATTCCACGCAAATTCCTGTCAAATTGATTGATAAAAAGTAATAATTAAACGGAAATACATAAAGTTACAATACGGTGTGATATTTTCCGTCCAGGGATAAAATCGAATTTCGTGTTTCCAGGTTAAGCATTTCTATAATTGCGTTTACCTATTTCTTCTAATAATAAGTAATAATAATAATTTACACTGTTGTCATTTTATTATGAATACTGCGCCCTAATCCTCAACTGACTGGGACCTTAAAATCAGCACGCAAGTAGCTTCCTTAGCAAGAATTCATAAAAAAATTAACAGGATAATTTTGCTTTAAAAAAAGTAATTCTAGCGCATTCAATATGTGTAAATGCTACGAAGGATTATTGTCATGCGATGTTTCTCATGGTAGTATCCGGATCACGGGCACAGTTGCGTAAAATACGCAGTTAGCCTATCATTTTGAAACGTGTGTGTTGATACCGTCAGGAGAGCGAGAAATCAACCTTCTTTGTCATGACCACAAGAAATTTTACAATGGCCGTCTAGTGGCTAGTTGAACTGGCAAACGGACGCTGTGAAGGAGATTGGTGCAGTTCAAAACTTTAAAGTTATGCTTCAAGAGGATATTTGAAGAACTACATAGAAAAATGTAGCAGATGACAAATTTTAAATAATTCTAATCTCATTGTTAGTGAAAAAATTATGGAAGCTAGACACTTATAAACATATATGCAATATGCTGCACAATTGTACATTTAGAATTGTCGAACTGGCGATGGAGTTGGACTCCGCAACGCTTTATTTTATAAATATATGATGATTAGTTGGGAATTCTTTGTTTTTATATTCATGACTAAAATTTGATCTAGTTTGATTTGATCAACATTTTGTGAATTGCACAGGCTGTTACAGAACTGTAACTTGTCTAAACACAACTCACGGTCATTAACTTCCACCCGACGTTCATTATGGCTGTCTGGCAGGGTCAGCTCAGTAAATGATTACTCAGCCTGCATATCATCTTTGAGGCTGTCACCATCTGCTGTGTTTCCCACCACGGCCAGCAGGTTATGTAACGCGTTCTCTTTACACGCACAAGAAATTGCGCAACTGGGTGTCATCTTATTATTTACTTACAAATATTAATTAGTTCTAAGTGGATGGTGTTGAAATGTTGCATTGACAATACGTTCGACGAGAAGCTTAGAATAATGAGATAATTACCGAAGCTTAGCTTCAGTAATTATCGCCCAAATAGTTCACTACTCCACTCATGATCGCCAATTTTCTTTCACACAATTAGAATTCTTCCACACAATTCAATATTCATATTGTAATGAAGTGTTGCTGCAAATTTCCCACTACTGTATGTCAGACTACGAAGTTTAAGTAGGACCGACTCTGACGTCGGTGTAAATTGATTATAGCCGTCAGATACTATGCCGATCCCGACTTGCGTCCTGGTTCCTCTCTTATAGGATTTTGACTCAGACGCCAGGGTAAGTTGCTGCTTTGGTGGTGAAATTTAGATTGGAATACTTGATGGAATATCGTGATTTTTGTGTATATACGTCTTGTCATGCGTAGATATTTACTTTGTTTTCTGTTGCAGGATCGTGCGTTATTCTCGGATCTCAATGCTCTAGCTCTCTCCTCGCATTTTGCTCTCATCGCACTTTAACTTCCTCCGCATTTAATTTGTTTATAGTTCGTTTAACTCATATGCCGCACCTGTTTGATTTGTTTAGTTTCGATTTGCCGTTTAGCTTAAATAAATAAATTTAAGAAAGTTTGTTTGAGTAAATATCCGCTCGGTCCAAGCTCTTGCTGATAAAACCAATAGGGAAGTTCCATTCAATTTCCGGTCATTGGTGGACGTGACAATTAGACCATCCGAACTTTGAGGTGACGATTAATTAGCTATTATTCAAGATTAGTTCGTCACACATATCCTGTCTGTGAACCTCAACAAATTACGTCATCTTCACGCTGTAAAATTCAGTGTACAAAAATTACCGGAGTAAAATGAGGCCGTTGTCCGAGTTTGCCGTTAAGCTGTAAGAGGCTGAAGTATCGCCGTCAGGCCTGTGGCCGATTCTTAACATCGCAGAACATTCACAGCATTTTGCGGTCTCGAACTCGCAACTCACTGCTACAATTCTACTGTGCTTAATTAACCGCCCGGCCTCCTTGCCGATTCTGACCAGAAACTGGCGCACAGAGCTGGGATCGAACCCGCGCCTCTCTGCACCAATCTTGGTACTCTGAAATTTAACTACTGGGCCACCCTGTTTATTCCAAGTTTAATTATTATTCCACGTTTAATTTTACAGTTGCTTAATTATATTACTGAAGATTGAAAATTAATCAGAATAGTTCACTTCACTACATGGCGTAATACTCCTAACTCAGTCGTTATAACAAAATAATTTCAACAGTATTCAACATTTCCGAAAGCCATGTCTATTCTTCCCATATCAGTATACCGCCCGGCCTCCTTGCCGATTCTGACCAGAAACTGGCGCACAGAGCTGGGATCGAACCCGCGCCTCTCTGCACCAATCTTGGTACTCTGAACTGTAACCACAGGGCCACAATAACTCCTAAATAAGATAAGACTCTGAAATTTGGAATGTCAATCAAGCTATTTTTCTTCATTTCACATACTTTAAGATAAATTCTGTTAACTTTGTATTTCAACTGTTATCATGAAGGATAACATTTGCACCCCCATATTTGTGAAGCGCGCGACTTTTCTACCATTTTCTGGATACACGCAGGTTTAACTATTTTTTTTCATTGATCGGTATACCATGCACTTCTGAATCAGAATTACTCTGGTAGATATTAGTCATTCTACCCAAAAAATTCTATAGGACATTCAGAGATTAAAGCAAAAAAAAAAAGTCATTTCGTTGTCGTACATTGGAAGTAAAAGAACATGCCTCTTTGCCCATAAATCTTTGCGGTCGAATAGTGAAGGGGCTGGTGACTTTAAAGGGCCGACGTCTGTTGTTAGTCTGCTACAATTTATGTTTTTTCTTCACAGCAAACTAAATGTTATTATAAAAATAATCTTAATTATTCATTGTCATTTGTTAACATATGATATTATAGCGCCACTATTATCTGTTGCACAGTTCAGTGCAGTGATTATTCGTGAATCAAATTAAGCAAGGTAAAATATATTAGAGGAGTGATAATTGCGATATATGAAGTATAAACAAAATATCATTATTAAATGCCAAATGAAATTAAAGATTGCAATTTGTTACTTCTTCTTAGATTGAATAATTGCAAATAATTATAAATAATTTTAAAGCTTCTAGTTGGAGGATTTGTAGTGACTCGAAATCATACTCGAACTATCATTTCTTGTGAACGTCATAATTATTTTTATTAAACCCCTATATATATAAGCTCTTAGAACTCCATTTTTGCAGCTCCATGTAACCTTGATAGCTAAAATTCAACTATTTATTCCAGTGTTCACTATTATGCAATTGTAAAATATTAAGCAGAAGTATTATCAATTTGAAGCATGAACAATATTTCTGAATAATAAAAATTCAAGGAAATATAAAAATACTTGAAGATTCTAACAAATTATGAATTATCTTTAGAGAATTTCTCCAACTTATAATTCTAATTACGTTATGGGTGCTACATTGTCTCAAAAGCGATTCTCTCGTACCTTCTCATGGTCTTTTATAAAAAATGCTATGCGTTCGTTTTAAAAGCTTACTGATGTTTAACGCCATTCATAATGTATGCCCACAATCGTCTCGTAGCTGTCCTTGCTCTCACAAACTGAAACTCAACAATGATCATCACTTGAACTCTCATCATTGATGAAACTATGAATCCTTGCTTTATTTCGCTTCCAAAGTACTACCCTGTCGAAATCCAGATTCCGTTCAGAACTTCAGGGGCGCCGGTCGAGGCTCGCCATGGCCGCCTTAAGGCCCGTTTACACTAGTGGCAACGACATGCGCTTTGAGTCGTTTGCTGCAGTGCCTCACCGCGCACAACCGTTCACACTACTTTTGTACTCGGTAGTTTGAGACCGCGCCCTTTGAACACTGGTTGCCACCTAGACGTCAATGAGGATGGATGTAACCGGATTTGAGCTGTGGGCCATTGTTCTCGGGTGTGCTGCGGTCCGTCATTCTTCGCACTATGCCAGTTGTAAACGAGAATTTAGTATAGGCATCATAATTAGAGACTTAGCACATTCAAAAAGATAGTTTATGAAAAATATAGTCTATTCTTAAATAAAAAGTTCCAATATTCGTACCGATATTTCATCATCCTTTGAAATCGCTAAACGGTAATGCATAAATTGTCAGGAGTTGCTAAAATCACATAAACTAAACACGTCATGTAAAAATAACTTACATCATTTGCATTTCGATTTTTGTACTCCTTTGACCGAACACTCCAGAGGCATTCGTGTTCTCTATAAAGATCAATTAGGTCCAAACGAGAGTGGTGTTAGTTGACATTTGGTGTGCCGGACCAGCGTACACAATCAACCTTACTAGACCACAGATAGCTATCTACTAACTAAGAATTAAAAGCAAAGAATAGTCCACAAAAATTCATAACTTTATAGAAAACGTTTCGGAGGCCAGCACCATCGTCAGTTCGTAGAATCTAGAATCACAAATCAGAAGTCACAAATCAGAAGTTATTTGCTGTTGTTCCGTTACTATCTACTTTATTTCGTTGCATCATCAGGTTTAATGATGGAGTTACATTTAAGTACAAGGATAACCTTAGGGTCGCCTGCCGAAGACCACCACTGCCCTGGATGTAATGGACTATCATGATTCCTGCATTCCGGAACGTAGCCTTCAACACTTCAAGCCGTCCGTATCTAGGCCGCGGGTCGAACCAGCCCTCGGTCGAACGGCCACTTGTCGAAGGACGATAAATTTTGGAACAGAACTATGCTATCTGAAACCTTACCTCAGATGCCATGAACGTGAAATTACGTAATTTAACGATGCCCGGAAGTCATATTCGATCCGCGGCCTGGTGGTGCACGGCAGGTTTTATGCAAGGCCAGAGGAGGACAAAGCCGAGCGGTTCACGGCTGATTGGTGGATGTCCGGAGAGATCCAAGGCGTTCGATTCAGGGCTTATTGGTGCACAAAATTGGTGGTGCACGGCTGCGCTCCCGGATAAATTTGGTTATTTCTAAAGAACTACAAATTATGCAAGGATAGATTCTTGAAATTTCCATCGAGCTCAGCAATATTGGAATAGTCAATGAATTAGACGTTAAAAATACTTCTATTCTTCATTTTTCAGCAGTTGCAAGCAATTCTTTCAGACCGCGGTATAATATGAGCACGGACTGATTTTCATAAATATACAAGAGTTTAGAGTCCTAATATCTTCATAAGTTTCAGAGACTAGCACGTTGCTTCTCATTATACCGCTCTTAATATAGTTACTTTTTTATAGTACGGTTTTTGCATCTCATCCTAAACGAGGACATTTTTCTTACCATATCTAAAGTATTGTAAAATGATTGCAAGGTTTTACTAACCTGATTTTTACTAGTGAATTATCGCAATACTTCATAATTGTATCAGAGATCAGGTTGACAAAAATTTTTCGCTACTGATCAAGTATACAAATTTTAGCCAATTGAACAGAAAATACAATTGGAACGCGTTAAATTGCAAAATTGTTTTTGAGAAGTAACTCAAATAAACCAGAAACTTGCACTGTAAATGAGTAAATGGCTTATACATATGGCATTGTAAATCTTATTGAGAGTATAAACAGCGAATGAGGTTCATCATTACTTGGTTATCAGAGTGTTAATTAATTATGGGAAGCATCGATATGACGGGATTGGTACTTCAGAACGATGAAGGAAACCTGTCGCTTTTGTTTGCCATCATTAGCGGTTAATTTGCCAAATAATTATAGAAAGCATGCAAGCGTATATTGACCTACAAAGAAATACTA